TGAAAGGGGACATTGTACTAGATGCGTGATCCAGAGCATGTTGTGATGACTGTCCGTCCTTACATCCTCGCAGCGATAGGTCTAGACTTCGTGATGTGTGGGGAGATTAGATTTTTTAGTGTTTATTTGGATTTGTTTGGATTGTTCATTTGGATTTGGTTGGATTATTTATTTTGTTTTGTTTGTATGATTTATTTGGACTTGGTTTGATGGTATTTATGATAGATTGGTTGATTTGCTCGTGTAATTTTGGTGTATTTGGTTGTTAAAGGACGAAAAATGATAAAATCGAGCTGCTGTTGGGTCACACGACTCGTGTGAGTAAGTGACAAGAGTCGTGTGGGTACAAGAGAATGAAATTTTAGCTACGGTTTATTCACACGAGTCGTGTGTTATGTGACACGGGTCGTGTTAGCAGAGACTCCCAGATTGAGGACTCGAACCCGGGTTAATGGGTGAGTCCGATTTCTCTGGGCGCACCTTGTACCATTAGGCCGCTCTAGGCTATCGCTGTTATTTTTGCACAAAATATATTCTTATACTTCAACATCATTTTTTTTTAATCGAAGTGAAATTAATACAATTGAAGTCAAATTAGTACAGTTGAAGTCAATTTAATACAATTGAAGTCAAATTAGTACTATTGAAGTCGAATAAATACAATTGAAGTCAAATTAGTACTATTGAAGTCAAATTAATACAATTGAAGTCAAATTAATACAATTGAAGTTGAATTAGTACAATTGAAGTGAAATTAATACAATTGAAGTCAAATTAATACAATTGAAGTCAAATTAATACAATTGAAGTCAAATTAGTACAATTGAAGTCAAATTTGTACAATTAAAGTCAAATTAATACAATTGAAATCGAATTAGTACAATTGAACTCGAATTAGTACAATTGAAGTCAAAGAAGACTTCTCCTATCGCAAATGTCTGGAGAGCTTCATCACGGAAAAGTACCCTGACAAGGCAGAAACTTTTATCCCCAGATGCTGCTGCTACTGGTGGTTGGAACTAAGCAGAATAAGTAAAAACATAAATTATGTCTGACAACTAATATCTATGTTTTTG